AAAACCTAAACTGAATCCAGGCTGAGCAGCCATACGAGGAATAAAAGTCAGGCATCCTGAGAGGCAGCTCTGGAAGTTTGCTGTCAACAGAAAATCAGAATGATGTAATAAATTAGAAAATCATTTCTGTCAGTCCTTCGGTCTCATGTAGCCCCAGAAACGTTGAGCTAATTAATCTGGAAATCCGTGGAAAGTTAATCAGATTCAGATTAATAGAAAACATAAAGAAACCTTTACCTCAATCTATCTGACCGCAGCTTGGTCTGACCCAAGATGGCCGCCCTGTCAGCCTGTCACCCACTGATATTTATTCCCTGGATTGCTGATTGCCTGTTGGTAGTAAGGGGCTGAAGCGAACCCACCGGCCGCCATATTGGTACTCCCTAGTCAGACTGGTCATAATGTGAACTTTATGTGCGCCACAGCATCGAACAACCATGATGTTCTCATTTTCAGGGACTTAAGACTTTTTAAATAAAGATAAATTCCTCACTTTGACGCAGACTGGCTGTTTCATAGCATCAGTAGATTAACTTTAACTTAGAATAAAACAATCAGCCAATCACATCGCTGAGTCATTATGAAGTCTATAAATCAGGTAATATAACATATTATACAAATAAATCACAATAAAATGAATGTGTTAATGGAGCAGAATAATACAGATGAGCCTAAACTGATGATCAGTGGCGGATCTAGACCAAATGTTCCAGGGGGCCATGAGGGGGCCAGCATGTTTTCATGGGGGCCCAGAAAAGCATGAAATAAAAAACATGGCAAAGGATTCAAATATATCGATAGAGCTGCATGAATGGACATTTCTATTCCATTAGGTTTAATAATAATTCTGTTTCTTATTAGGTGAATATACATTCATAATTTAGGAATTGTACATATTTCCAACTTAATTTAAGTTAAAATTAGCATCTTCTATGAAATCTGAATTAGAACTAAATAAAAACTGATAAATTCAGCTGTAAAAAATAAAAGATTTTTTAAATTTGTTTTGAAAAAAAACATTTAGCAGATGAAAACTGGGATCCTATCTCAGCACCACTGAAGCTGTCACCTTATTGTTTTTAAATAATTAGTAAAACCGAATTTGTGAATAAAAAAAATGAAATAGATCCAAAGGATCCATCAGTAACCATGTCTGTTCCAGCTCAGATCATCACTAGAATTTCTCTTAGTTTTATGTCTTCAGTTCAGGGGCCATCAGAGGGGCTAGGACATGATCTACTGTTGGCCCCCATTGGCCCTGCTCTAGAACCGCCCATGCTGATGATATACATGTAATATACATGTATTGATGACATGTATATTACATGTACTGCCACGATATTTTACATAAAGACTGAATTACAAGTACATCTGTTAATGTTATAGTGTTTTTCTTTTTGCAAACTGTCCATGCATGGTTGATATATATATACATATATACACTCATTTTCAATCTAACATGCAATATATTTCAGCTAATTACTTTTTCAAATGAGAAATAAACCAAACACTATACAAACGACAGCATCATCCACTTAATAAAGAACTCCAACATTTCACAGTGAATAAGTTTCTATTTCCTCTACTTTCTATTTTCTAACGTTCAATGTCTTCCAGTCAGTCTGAGATAGCCAGACTAACGTTAGTCTGCAGACTAAACTATAGGATCCATCGGCTATAGATGGGTTTATTGCTTAGTTCATCCACTGACTGGGAATAACCTGAGGAACGACTTCCTGCAGACAGAAAGCTGCTGGTTTTAGCAGCTAAATGCTGCACAGGGAGGCATTTTACTGCATGGCTCTGTGGGAGTGGGGAGTACCAAGATGGCGGACGGTGGGTTCACTTTTTTAGGGCTATCAGTGATCAAGTGGATAAATAGATATCAGTGCTCCCATGGCTCTGATAGCCTTAGACGCCTCACTGGACTCTGGCTGACGTGCCTAGAAGGCGGCCATCTTGGATCAGACCATGGTTCAGACACCTGCTGTCAGAATAAACAGGAAGCGTTTTAGATCTCATTTTAATCACAGGAAAGAGTCAGAGATAAAATCACAATAATCTCTGACCTTTCAGAGACCCTTAAAAGACCAAAACTAATTCTAAAAAAAACCTTTCAGTTAGATTACCACATTTATTCAGATTAAAAACTAATTAAACTGAACTCTAACTGGATGCAATGTTATATATTTTGCAATTAAATATTAATATGATAAACACAAAGTTTTATATTAATATAAGATTATATTTGACAAATATTACATATTTATGAGATGTATTATTATTCAGAATTTTATGTATTATGATCTATAGAGGAAAATTTGTTGTAAGTTATTATTTTTTTTAAGAATTTATTTTTATTTTTTTTTTCATTGTCAAAACTTTTTTGTCAAATCGTAGTGAATGGTAAATGTATGTTGTGTCTAACTAAACTAAACTAATAAACTTTCCAAAACTCTTTTTCAAACTAATTGTTTTTTGTTTTTTATTATTTATTGATCTGTAAACATTTGTTCTTTAATCAGTTAAAGATATATTTTTATATTTTAGGTGTTTTGGTCTTTAAGTGATTCTGACATGTAGGTGAGTTTCCTGTGATTAAGATGAGATCCAAGGCGCCTCCTGTTCATCCTGTCAGCAGCTGGTCTGATCCAAGATGGCCGCCGTCTAGGCATGCCGGCCAGCGTCCAATGAGGCATAATGTCTGTGCTGACCAGCTGTCGCTGCAAAGATGACCTCTGCCTTTCAAAATAAAATCAGCAGGATCTGCTCAGTTCAGGATTTATTTCTTCTGCCAACATGAATGAAAATCATCCGTTAGAATAAACCCTAAATAAAGAGTCGATGACCATGAGGTCCATCCTGGAGTCTCTGAATCTGGACCTCTTGGTCCGTCTCTACGGCGACGAAGCAGGAACCTTCTCCCCATCCAGCAGCAGGAAGTGGATGATCCCGTTCTTCTTCTTCCCGCTGCTGGCGGCCTTGATGCAGCACTCATGGTCTCCCACAGAGAAACGGGTCTCTGTGCCGTCGTCCACAAACTCCCCCTGTGGACGAGACACGAGGGGACACAGAATCTGAGGCGTGGACGCACATCACACTATAATAAACACCAGAGATCATCTTCATCAGAACCAGAGGAAGACGGCGGGATAGAAATTCTCACCGTTGTTTCCATTTTCTGCCCGTTGCACCAGACATCCATGGTGTCCTTCTCTGTTAAAAGACATCACAGTCCATCAGGACACGTCTACACAGGCTGAGGTTGTCCCCGGACCTCCTCTGGACTCACCCAGAACCACCCTGTAGTCCGTCCCGTCCACCTGGACCACCCAGGTCTTGGTGGTCTTGGCTCTGTTGTCGATGAACGTCTGCAGACTCTTGCCGTCGACGTTCAGAGAGTATTCGTAGGCGAAGCCGCTGACGGCCTCGATGTTAATGGCGGCCTTGGTGTTGGCGCTGCCGACAGTGAAGGTCTCCTTCCCAACCAGCTTGAACATCCAGTCCTTCCTGATCACCTCCTGCAGAGAAAAACCGCCTCACTGATCCAGTGGTCCTGGTCTGGGGGGACCGTCACCAACTTTGCTCCAAGTTTGAAGATGTTTCCCAACAATTCCCTCTAACGACCCCCTTTCAGAGACATAGACAGGTATGGGGCATTGCAGGCTAACCAAATAAACCCCATTCCAAAGGGGGGGACCCGTTCATCCGTTTCTATTTGCAT